ATGTACCTACTGATCAGGCTAACACTAAACATTATATCCGGACGAGTTGCAGTGAGGTACATCAAACTCCCTACCAATTGCTTGAAATACGTCTCATCAACCGGTGGTCCGTCATCATCTCTGCTTATTTTGGATCCTTGCACAACTGGACTACTCACTGGTTTACTTTCAATCATTCCAAAACGCCTCAAAACTTCGTTAACATATTTTCTTTGACAGATAAAAATGCCATCAGACTTTTGCAAAACCTCAATGCCGAGAAAAAATCTCATATTTCCTAAATTTGTCATGTCAAAGACTTTCATCATAGACCTCTTAAATTCAAACATCATAATTTCATCATCACCGGTATAGATCAAGTCGTCCACATAAATACTAACTATCAACACTTTACCTTCGCTGCTTCTTTTTGTGAATAAGGTCTGCTCGTTTGGGCACTTCTGGAAACCTTCACTGATGAAATAAGCTTCAATACGACTAAACCAAGCTCGAGGAGCTTGTTTTAATCCGTATAAAGCTTTATGCAACTTATATACCATATGCTCACTTCCCTTCTTTTCGTAACCCTTTGGCTGTTCCACATACACGTTCTCATTGAGTTCACCATGGAGAAATGCCGATTTAACATCTAGCTGGTAGATTTTCCAATTTCTTTGGGCAGCAGTTGCTACTATCATCCTTATCGTATCCATTCGAGCTACTGGAGCAAATACTTCGGTGAAATCTACTCCTTGTTGTTGAGAGTATCCCTTGGCCACCAATCGAGCTTTATATTTGTCAACTTCTCCTAGCTCATTCAACTTCGTTTTGTATATCCATTTGACTCCAATACTTTTAGATCCAGCAGGCAACTCAATAAGAGTCCATGTCTGATTTTTCTCAATGGAATTAATTTCCGCGTCCATTGCCAATCTCCACTTTGAGTTCTTCACGGCTTCTTCATAACTAATAGGATCTGCGGAGATAACTAAGGCCATATGCAGTTCACTTTCTTCCTCGGATAAACCATCTCCACTAACATAGTCCTCCATCCAAACAGGAGCCTTAGAAATTCTCCTTGTCCTCGCATTAGATTCTTGAGTCGCTGAATTTGTAGTATCATTCTCCGATGCTTGATCTTCTTCGTTGATTTCAGCCCCTTCATCGCTTTCACTAGCTGAATCATCATTATCTATCTCATGCTCATGTGTATTAGTGTCAACGTCACCCCATTCCAGATCCACTAACACGTGTTCTTCATAATTTGCATCCCACTTCCATTGTCTATCTTCTTCAAACACTACATCTCTGCTGGTCACCACTCTTTTCGATATTGGATCATACAATCTGTACCCCTTCGATTCTTCACTAACTCCAAGAAGAATACATTCGAAGCTCTTGTTCTCGAGTTTGGTTCTCTTAGCTTCTGGCACGTGGACGTGAGCCATACACCCGAAGACTCTAAAATGTCCCACTGAGGGCTTTATCCCAGACCATGCTTCCTCCGGTGTGACATTCATGATAGCTACTGTAGGGCTTCTATTTAGTACATAGATGATCCAATTCACTGCCTCAGGCCAAAAGTTTTTTGGAATCTTCTTTTCGGAAAGAACTGAACGAACCAAATTCATCACCGTTCGGTTTTTCCTTTCCGCCACTCCATTTTGCTGTGGAGTATAAGCAACTGTAAGTTGTCTTTTGATGCCACTTTGTCTGCAAAAATCATTAAACTCGTTTGATGTAAATTCACCTCCTCTATCGGTGCGCAAACACTTGATATTCATATTTGTTTCTTTTTCGACCAATTTCTTAAAGCATTTAAATGAATTTAAAGCTTCTGATTTTTCAACTAAGAAATAAACCCATGCTTTCCTACTGAAGTCGTCGATAAAGCATAATATATACCTCTTTTGGCTATTTGACATAGGATTTATTGGACCGCAAATGTCTGCATGTATGAGCTCCAGCTTTTGAGTTGCTCTCCAGGTACCTTCCTTAGGTATAGGATCTCGGTGTTGCTTTCCCTTCAAACAATCAGTACACATCATTGTGGTGGCCGGCAAATGAGGCAGTCCGCGTACCATATTCTTGGTTTGTAGCGTTTTTAAACCTTTATGACTGAGATGACCATATCTGCAGTGCCATAAGTGAGTGAGATCTTGCGTACTAGTGTAATGACATGCAACCTTCCTTTCTTGTACATTTGTAAACAAGATGAACATTCGATTTACTGACATCTTGGTTTGAATAATCAAACCCTTTTCTGGGTGGTAGATCTTGCACATTCCCGCCTCGATTAGGATTGCAAGTCCCTTTTCTTGTAACTGGCCTACACTCAGAAGATTGTTCTTTAGTTTCGGCACGTAGAACACTCCCGTAATGACATGCTTGAAGCCATTCACTTGCAATTTGACATTTCCTCTCCCTTTAACCGGCATTCTGGTGTTATTCCCCAACTTCACATGGTGTCTAAAAGTCTCGTCTAATTCATTGAACATCATTGCGTCGCCACACATGTGATTAGAACAGCCTGAATCCAAAAACCATGCGTCCTTACGGTTGGCTTGTTGCTCCTCTACATAAGCCATTAACAACATCTCCTCGTGTTCATCAAACTCAGCATAATTAGCCTCTTTGTCCCATGCTGGACACTCGGATTGGAAATGTCCGAGTTTGTGACAATGATAACATTCCACTGTGGCTTTCGAGAAACTTAGTCGCCCTCTTCCTCGACCTCGTCCTCTGAAATTCGCTCTGCCACGTCCTCTTCCTCGGTTTCTCTCGTCCACGGTAACTTTTAAGGCTTGCTCTTCTCCATTGTATCTGTGGAACTTCTGTTCATGCACAATGAGTGAGCTTTGCAATTCATCAACTGTGAGTAAATCAATGTCCTTGGATTCTTCAATCGAGACAACTACATAATTGAACTTTTCTGTCAAAGTTCGAAGGATCTTCTCCACAATTGTAACATCTCTCATTTGTTCCCCATTCACCCTCATTTTGTTAGCTACTGTCATAACACGAGCAAAGTATTCAGTAATACTTTCACTGAATTTCATCTCGAGAGTTTCAAACTCTCTCCTCAAAGCTTGAAGAACCGAGCGCTTCACTCTGGCGCTCCCCTCGAATTTCTTCTTCATCGACTCCCATATATCTTTAGCGGTGTCCTTCACCAATATGGTTTCCAATGTTGTTCTGTCGATTGCCTGGAAAAGGTAATTCTTCACCTTAAGATCTTTCAATTTCAGATCGTCAAGCTCCTTTTGTTGTTCCTTTGTCAGAGTTTCCCCTGCTTTTGATTCTTCATATCCGGTCTCAACCAAACCCCAATATTCCTTGGATCTCAAGAAATTTTCCATAAGCATACTCCAATGGTCGTAGTGACCATCAAAGCGTGGAATAGCTGGTTGAACGAAAGAACCCTCACCTGACATATCTCTCAAACACTCGTGTTTAAATCTCTCTTGGTTTGGAAGTCAGTCTCTTTCTCTCAGGCCCAGTGGGGCTCTGATGCCACTTTGTTGGGAATAAATAATGTATAAACTCACAACAGAGATGGAATGAATGACTTGAACAACCTTATTGATGTGCACTCTGGGATATATATCCTAGTACAATTCTAACAGAAAGCAAAAATTAAGCTACGAGATAAACATTAGCTGGAATAACAATATTCCTAAAGAATAGGACTTATCCCAAACAGAAACAAGACTAAGTAAGCAAACTTTGACTAAGTAAACCATTATCTCCTTTCACCTCCAATATCTGATAAAATATTCGTAAATTCTCCAAAGCTTGGTTCTTACAGAAGGGGCGACTCCACATTCTACTCGCTTATCGAACACCATGCCAATTCCGGAGATTTCAGCGCTTTGGAGATTGTTTTCCAACGGATGAAGCGCGAAAATCGAGAAAAACTTCATCTTGGTTTTTCGAGCTTGTGCGAAATTCCGTCTACACCGTAAAGCCGTTGAGTTATTCGATAGAATGGTAACGGAGTTTCGGCTGCCAACAAACCGTCAAGTCTTTCAACTCCGTGCTGAATGTGATCATCCAGCAAGGCGACTGTGAAGTCTTTCAACTCCGTGCTGAATGTGATTATCACATAGTGAACAACAGAACGAACATCTCGCCGAATGTGCTGACGTGTAATATACTGATCAAGGCACTGTGCAAGGTGGGGCTCGTCGCGAGGGCAGTCGATGTTTTCAGGGAAATTGCCCGATTTGAAATACCGGCCGGATGCGTTTACGTATTGCACGTTGATGGATGGATTGTGTAAGGTGAATCGAATCGACGACGCTGTGGTTTTGTTGGACGAGATGCAAATAGAGGGGTGTGATCTAAGCCCCGTGGCGTTTAATGTCTTGATTGACGGGCTGTGCAAGAAGGGCGACCTGCCGAGGGCCGCGAAATTGGTCGACAATATGTTCTTGAAAGGCCGCGTTCCGAATCAAGTGACTTACAACACACTCGTACACGGGTTGTGCCTCAAAGGAAAGCTCGACAAGGCGATCGATCTTCTGATGCGGATGCTGTCGAACAAGCTCCTTCCGAACGATGTTACCTACGGAACCGTAATAACGACAATGGAGGAAAAAGGGTACGGAACAAACGAAAGTAGACAAATACCTATTTTTTTTTTTAAATTAAAAAAAAAAAGAAAAGAATATATTGTATTAAGATTAACTAATCTACATTAAACAAAACAGGAAACAACAGGTAAATATTTTCTAATTATGGAGATTAAACAAATTAAGAGATAAACCTTCCTTATATGCATTTAATTCCACCACACAAGGAAACAAAATTCTGGATCAAAGAATAAGTTAATTAATTAATATAAACCTTAAATTAAACCGTGAAATTAAGGAAACTTATCCCATATTTAGCTTTGCATCCTTTTTTACATCAAAACCTGACTCTATAAATAGGCCTGACTAGAATACATGCATCCACACACCTAAAAATTGAACTTTCTCGATTCGTTCGAAAGAAATATAATTCGATCTTCAGTAATAATGGGAGCAAATACTAGCAGTTCTGTAAGTGAGGCACCAACGGTTCTTTCGATTGATGGCAGCAGTTCTGTAAAGGAGGAACCAACGACTAGGGTTCTTTCGATTGATGGCGGCGGAGTTAGAGCCTTAATCCCACTCGTTATTCTTGCTAAACTCGAATCTCAGCTTCAGGTACATATATATTATATAGCACACTCACATACGTATTATTTTCATGATTCGTATAAAAAATAATTTTTTTTAATACTGAATATATATTCTTCAGAAAATAGACGGTAAAGATGCGAGGATTGCAGATTATTTTGACGTAATTGCGGGTACAAACACAGGAGCACTAACTGCTGCAATGCTTACTGCACCGAACGAAAATAATCGTCCGATATTTACTGCACAAGAAATCATAGAATTTTACCTTGACAACTTCCCTAAAATATTCCCACAGGGGTAAGTAATTGTTATATATTATTATTAATAATTTTTTTTTTATTTTTTTTTTGTAGTTCTAATTTTGATTAATATTTTGTTTGTTTGGTCCAGAGATAATATTTTGAGCCGTGCTGCAAAGAAATATAAACAGTGGGTCGGGGAAATAAAATATAATGGCAAATATGTAAATTCAGTAATAAAAGAGAAACTTGGTGATACAAAACTGAATCAAACTCTCACAGATATTGTCATCACCACAGACCCCATCACATTCTCAACCAATCAGGTTTGTTTTATTTGTCTTTTTTTTGTTATTTTTCCTATTTATTTGTATTTAACATATAAATTAATATTTATAATTTGTGATTTAGGTGGAGAATAAGGATGTTTCACTCTCAGACATCTGCATTGGAAGTTTAGCTTTTCCGACTTATTTGTCTCCGCATTCCTTCGTAACTAAAGATTCCGACGGCAATTCCAAACAATTCGACCTCATTGGCAGTGCAGCCGACAATCCGGTAAATATATATCTCTATCTTACACTTTTTTATCAAAAAATAAACAAAATTCAATAACAACATACTTATTAGTACATTTTTTTACGGGATTAATTTTATTTTCCAGATATTAGCTGCAATGATGCAAATACGAAAGGAGAAGGGTAACTTTTCACCGTTCTTTTTGTCGGTGGGAAGTTGTTTACCTAAATATAACATAAAGAAAGCAAGAAAATGGTTTCTTTACAAATACACATTAAATAATGGTTCGTCGACCGTTTGGAGTACAATTGGTCGACTTGCGTCGTTTCTCACTGATTACGACAGTCTCTTTTATCTCCAAGACGCTCACGGTGAAGAAGAATATCTTCAACGGTTTCTCTCTGAAGATAATTATCTTCGAATTCAGGTATTATTTTCTTTTTTCTTTAATTCATTTACAAAAATATCAAATTTTTTATACATATAATAAAAAAATAAAATGTATTTATTTTTTCAGGACGATTCTTTAACTGGGGCAATGCGTTCAATGGACGTTGCGACGAAGAAGAATTTGAAGAATTTAGTGAAAGCCGGAGAAAATTTGTTGAAGAAACGAGTTTCGAGGCTAGATTCGAAAAGTAGAAATTTTGTGCCGATTAGCGAGGAAACGAACGAGGAAGCACTGATTAAACTAGCAGCAGAGCTTTCGTGGGAGAAGCGAATTCGAGATCCGGATTTTCTTGCGATAGCAATAATATAAACATAGGCATGGATACAAATTAATTGTGGGGAAATATTATTTTTATTATTGAAGTACATAATTATTGTTTTCCTTTTTTTTTTTTTTTTTTTTTTTTAGATTTTTCTATTTTTTATAATAAAAGGTTAAGACCAATTAAGTTTTCCGATTTTCTTATGTTAGGTTTTTTTTTTTAATCACATTCAATTTTGTTCATGTTCTATAGATATTAGTTAATAATTAATCTTAGTTTTCTTCATCAATAGTATTTATTTTAAGGTCCTTGAACTTTTGGACGAATAGCAGATTTGTTCTTAATTTTCAATCACAGCAAATTTTTGAAGACCACCACTCGGATGTGTTAATTTTTTTTTTTTAATATAGTAATTTGACTCGCGCGTGCGATGCATCGGATGAAATAAAATTAATTAAAAATAAAATATATATTAAATAATAATATTGAAATTTAAATCTTTACACTTAAATCACATCAAAAGTATTAGTTAAAAAAGGAAAAAAAAAATACTAATCTTGTTTAAAAAAAGAAAGAAAGAAAGAAAGACATTATACCCTCTACTTATGTGTCTCAACTTCCAATTAAGCATGGAATTAATGACACATTCCTAGTCACAACAAATTGGTTAATCAACTCTAGTAATAAGAGAATATTTCCAGTATATTGCATATTTTATACACCCTGAAGTAATATATTGATCATACTATTTCATGGAAATATGTCATTTAATGAAGGCATAGATCATCTTTTTATATTATATATAAATTTTGGATTTATCTTCAAAAGGAGAATTTTTTTTGGACCACTCTTAATTGTATAATGCATATGAGGGAGGTTTGTCAAATTATCCCATAAAAATAAGTCGCACGAGTACTAGGCTATGCAGGGCCGGTTTGGAGGGGAGAGAAGTAGGCGGTCGGTCGCCTAGGGTCCTTGAATTTTTTTTTTAAATTTAGGGCCCCAATTTTTTATACCTCTTATTTATTAGCATTTATTCGAAAAAAATCTATACTATATATAATTATTGAGAACCCTAATTTATAAATAAATATTATATCAACGATTGTTACTTGTTTCTATAATTTCTCAAATCGCGGGGCCTTAATTATTAAATTGATAATGTAGTAGTTATTTATTTTATATATATATTCACTTGTTTTAGTGCTACCTAATGCAAATTTTCATTAAAAAAATCGGAGGTGCAGACCCCAAACTCCCAAAACTTTAACCTCACTATATATCAATTTCTAGCCTTGCAATTGGTTATATACCTTACAAAAAGGTTACAAAAACGAGTTAACAAAGAGCTTATCACCTTTTTAGAATTTTTTTTTAATATTATTGTAAATTGTAGAAAGACCCCATTTTTTAACTTTTTCAAATCTCGTCTAGGACCCCCAAAATCTCGGGAACAGCCCTGAGGCAATGTAGCACGAAAAATTTAACTTTTGAACTTTTTCGTGTTTCAGACACGTTTTGTGTCCGACACTCGAGGACACCTATCGGACACCTTCTAGGTCATTTTACAATTCTAAAAAGTTAGATATATGTTTGAATAGCAAATTTTCAAATATTTTTATTGCCTCTCTAATTATTTACACGATTTAATGATCAATTACATATCGATAGTCGACAGTAAAGTTTATTTTAAATATGCTCGTATGAAAATATATCAAAAACAATTTATAGATATACCCTTATACTTTTAATATTTACGCGTTTTCCCAAGTTCTCGCATCACATTTCTTGGACAAGCCGTTTTCGTGTCCGTTTTACTAAAAAGTGATTAGTGACATTTAGTTATAGGTTTCAAAATTACTGTCTAGAATAATTACATTTTTAGCCTCTCCACTATTCGACTTATTCATTTTTCATCCCTACCTATACAATTGAGGGCGAAATATTGATCCCTAATGATGCATTTATAGTTTCTTAATATGAATTCGTAAAATCCATATATTAAAAATGAGTAAAAATATTGTAACAACAAATTCTTATCTGCGATATAAACAAACAAGAAAAATTGAACAAAGATGATTTTATTGAATTAAAATAAATAAATTGCGGGTTACAATCTCTATTTTAATCCTCTGATTCTTCTCTCTAGAACAATATATAGTTGACTTGAATTTTCGGAGTCGGGTCGTTGACTTGATCTTCTCCGGATTTGATTTTGGATTTGAATAACGTTTTCCAAGGGTCCTGCGACTTGAATCTCGGATCGAACGTTGAACTTTGACTGAATTTGACTTGAAGATCTTGAAATTCTTGATGGATTTGGCCCTTCAATCTTCCAATGATCTTGACTTGAATTGATTAACGTTAATCCGAAGGTTTGGCACCGTTATCTCGGATCGAACGCCGGATTTGATGAAGAACGCCTTGAATTTGCTCAAGAACACCTTGAATTTGACGAAGAACACTTTGAATGTAGAGAGAGAATCTTACCTCCTACGAATTCTTCTTCCTTGCTTCTTGAATTGTAGAGAGAATTTTGCTCCTACGGATTTGCTCCTTCAGTTGTGTGTTTCGAATTGTGAAGGGAGGGTCCCTATTTATAGTGGTAGAATAAGAGTCCTTGATGGGACTCACTGATGATGTGGCGCGATTTGATTGGCCCAATTTAAATTGATATTTATCTCTTGTAACTTGGAAGAGAAGAAACAATTCTATTGGCCAATAATTAATTGATATTTATCTCTTTATAACTTGGGAGAAAAGAAATAATCTTATTGGCCAATATATATTTAATATCAATTATTTATTTAAATTAAAAATTAATTTAATTAAATTCCAAAATATATAATTGATAAAAATGTATATGTGACCGCATATATACGGGTCTTCAATTGACATCTAAGTCCTTTGGCTATGTATAATACACAAATCCCATTGGATAAAACTTTATTCCATATATAATTTAGCCATTTAATTGGCTTAAATTTTATTCGTCTACAAAATGCCCCCACTTCTAGTCTCGGCAAAGAACATATTGAATGTTTGTGAGACGAGACTTGAAGTACTTGAATTTCCTTTCATTTGCTTGCTTCAAATCCCCTTTCCTCAATTTTGGGGTGTAATTTAATAAATCCTTCACCTTGAGGGACTTAACTAATAAGTCATATTCTTTTGGCTTTAGTGAAGGACCCAACTACAAATACATTTTCTTGACTTGAGGATCTATTTGAAATTATCCTTTCATTTCAAGGGCCCAATTGTAGTTTTAGTCTTGATTGGAGAAATAATCCATGACCTCGAGCATGCATGTTATCTAACACCATGTGTTTCAACTTTTGGTAATAAATTGGACCCACGAAAATATATGCTTGCAGAGGCTCCCCGGTAATGTCTGAATAGAGGAAGTCTTTGCCGTTGTAGCTAAAACCGTGCTTCACTAGGGTTTCACTTATAGTCTCGACTTTATCTGCATGCCCACTGGGCTCACCAGATGCACTAGCGTTTTTTCTTTTTCTCTTTTTTTTTTTCTTTTTTTTTTATTATTATTATTATTTTTTTTTATGGGCCCACTCAAAATCAGATTTTGAATGCAATTCCAACTGCAATTCGATTTCCGTGCGCAGCAAGAGATAGTCCCAACACCTCACGTTTTATTCATGCAAAAGGATTCTTTTGCAACTTAATTTTCTCAACTCAAACACCTATTATCCTTCTCCCAGTAGATTTCAAACTCCTTGTGATTGGACAATCTCAATCCTAACATGAATGGGATAGTTATTTTTCTAGCTTATAAAAGGAGGTGACCCCTACCAATTTTTTCATTCACCAGCTTTCAACCATTGACCATCTTGCAGAAGGATTTTCACCTCCATCGAATTTAGCTCTTTTTTTTTCTCTCTTTTTTTTTGGTGTTTTTGCTAATTTCTTTGGCTCGATTTCAGGTCAGTTCCATAAAAAAAAAAAAAAAAAAAACTTTTCCTCTTTTTTTTTTTACACTTGAACGTGCTTTTGATTCCTTTCTTTAACTCACCGGTCCTCTTTTCTTTGTTTTAGGTTTGGCCATTGGGTGGTTTTAGCACGATTCCTTGCCCTCGCTCTTTTTTTTTTTTATCTTTTTTTTTTTTTTTTATCTCACCACGTCGAACTTATCGCTCTTTCTTTGATCTGTTTTGATAGATTCTCCGATGGTTTGTTTCAAGCAAGCTTTCACTTCTTTAGGCGACGAGCAATTGGTAATTCTTGACGATCGTTACCAACCGAACGACAAAGGAACCATCTTGACGATTTATGCCCCCCTTATCGGTTCTTACGCAAAGCAATGGCCACGCCTCACGACTCCGAATCGCATGTCCGTTTGGTCCCACGAGCATCCTCATAATAAGTACGAGTACGTGTACAGTTTGCGAGCATCATATCATAAACCCGACAGATGCTCGCTTCCGGAAGAGTCAAGCAGTCCGAGCCTTCTGCCGATTTTGGGTGGCAACATCGTGAAAGGAAAAGTCAAGTGGGGAGATACTCTCGAGCTTTCCAGCGGCTTTCAGTTCTTCAGAGGGTACTGGGAATGGACCGAAGACGTTCTCAGTCGTTGCCAGCACAAGCTAAAGTCCGTGAAGATCTATGATTATGTATATACCTCCCTCTTCACGTACGACTACAACTCTGAAATTATGAAGGCGTTCTTCGAGGCATGGTGTCCGACTACAAATGCCCTCTTGACGTCTCCTGGAGAAATGTCTATCTCTTTATGGGATTTGCACATCCTCTCCGGGCTACCGTTAACCGGGCTCTTTTACGATGAAGTTGTCCCTGCCTCTCAAGAACTCGTTGGTTCCGATGCGAAGGGTGTTCGATATTCTCACCGTTCATGCCGATATATATTCCATGCCTACCACTTACTTCGGAAGCGCTCTAAAGGTCCGTCCTCCAATGTCTCTGTCGAAAGCTGGATTCAGTTTTGGTCGAAGAAGCAGAAGAAATACACTCAACCTCCTCCGCGCAAAGAAAAGAAAGGTGTTCGCCCCAAGTCAACTCACAATCCTTCCGGCAATATTGAAGCACATGCAAAATGGATCAACATTGAAGAAGCTGTGTTTTCGAGCATTAGCGTTGATGTCGAACTGAGGTCCGAGACATACTTGGCGGCCCATTTGGCTTGTTGGCTTTGCACCTTCGCTCTCCCCACTGATGATGTAGGCATGATACGTCCTTCAACGTTCAAGATGGCTAGCATAATGGCGAGTGGCGAAGAAGTCTCTCTTGCAGTTCCTGTCTTAGCAAGCATCTTCAACGGCATAAATAGGATTTCGAGATCCTTGAGACCCCATCAAGAGAACTCTCCGTTTCCTGTTCACTTCGTCTATAGTTGGTTGGCACTTTATTTCAAGACCCATTGTCAAGTTCTGCAAGGCGTAGCCGTCGATGGCCCAAAGATGATATCTTATTCCGGAGAAGGAAGCGCTAGATACTACACTCCCGCGGATGCACGCAAACGGATTCACAAAGGAGATCTTATGTCTTGGACTTGCACCACGATCCCTAGGAGCGAGTCTTCTTTATATGTTGATGATGGAACAGCAAAAGGGTCCGAGAGAAATTATTTCATCGCCATTCGCTCGAGCTATCTCTCCTTGCGGCGTGGTAATCGTTTCGTTATTGAGCCATATAGACCTCATCGGTTTAGCCGTCAATTTGGGTTTTACCAAGATGTGCCCGGAGTACTTGATGAAGACGTTCGCGAGGCTTCTTTAATAGATGGACTCCATTATTGGCGTCTATGTGTTTTGCTCGAGTCCATGTCTAAAGTGATATTTTCCGTCGTTCCTCAAAATCCGAGAAAGTTTCACACGGACGGCTATAAAAGATGGTGGACTGAAGCTTACGGAACTTATCTTGAAAATAAAGCTGCGAGTTTGGAGTTAAGTAAGATTCCACTTGAAGACAAAGAGAATGAGGCAAGAAATAGTCTCGACAATCTTCCTCGCGAAAATGTGCTCCAAACCAAAAACCCTCCTAGAGATATAAAGAAGATGAATGTTTTGCCTTCATCGGATGAGAGTGACGATAGCCACATAGAACGTCATTGGAAAAGGCCGAAGAGGGACCCGCAATCTTCAAAACCACAAGATCTTCATATTGATAACAGTGTGGACAGTCATTCTCGAACAAATGACGCTTTTGCTGAGAAGGTTGCACTTAACACTTTTCCTTTTTTTTTTTTTTTTTTCTTTTCTTTTTTTTTTATATATATCATCTTGTCTTAGTGATTTTTTTTTTAGTTGGAAAACGAGATAATTGACGTTGACGATCGCGAGGAATCTCAAGCTAGTCATCACTCAACTGCCAAGGCTTGCTCAATGGGTACAGCTTCGTCGCCGACTGCTTTGATGCCTGCGAGAACATCCATGATGAAAGAGACCGCGAAAGGGTCGTACAATGGTGCTTGTTCAGTTTTTATGGGTGAAAATTTCCTGAAATTCACAAGCGGGTTTTTCTTCGCCAATTATGGCAAGATCTTCGTGCGAGGATAGTACGGACTTCAATTGATTCCATTTCGTCTATTCAAGAAGATGTCCAATTAGTTCTTGGAACCATGAGGGATCTTGGTGATTTCGACATATCTTGCATAGATGAATTATTGAAGTCATTATTTTTCCAGGCGACTGCTTATGATAAGGTGAGGTCGTCGAACTCTGAGAAGGCATCTAAAGAGATTCTAGCGCGACAATTAGATGAGGCTAAAGATCGTTTGCATACTGCTCAAGCTAGAGAACACAAAGAGACTCTTCAAGTTCAAGTCACCAATAATGATTTGGAGAGTGTCAAGAAAGAGCGTGCTGCTTTGAAGGTGATGGTGGGACAGTTGAGATCATCATTAAAACGACAACGAGAACTCCTTCATACTGTTCAAACTGAATTCGTGAGATTAACGAAGAAATTGCTGCCATTGAAAATACATCCCCTTTAAGTGATGATTTGGTACAAGAATTGCGCGCTTCTGCCGAGCTTTTAGAAGATGCCAAAGAAAAGTTGAACGATTTAGACCCTTTCGCTTGAGCTAGATTTAGATTTTTTTGTTTTTTTTTTTTTTTTTTTATTTCACTTTCATGATTCATGAAATAAAAAAAAATCTTCTTTTCCATCTTGCTCCCTTAGTATTCTGTACTTGTATATCCAACGATTTTTTTTTTTTTTTTAAGGAAATGACTGAACTTTGAGGATATCCAAGCTGCCTACGTACCCCGAGTGGGATCAAGGCATAACGTAGTTCAAAGAAAAAAAAGATAGATTTTTTTTTTTAGGGAAAAGACTGAACTTAGAGAATATCTAAGCTGCCTACGTACCACGAATGGGATCAAGTCATAACGTAGTTCAAAGAAAAAAAAATAGATTTTTTTTAGGGAAAGGACTGAACTTAGAGAATATCTAAGCTGCCTACGTACCCCGAATGGGATCAAGTCATAATGTAGTTCAAAGAAAAAAAGATAGATTTTTTTTTTTTTTTTTTTTTAGGGAAAGGACTGAACTTAGAGAATATCTAAGCTGCCTACGTACCCCGAATGGGATCAAGTCATAACGTAGTTAAAAGAAAAAAAGATTGATTTTTTTTTTTTTTAGGGAAAGGACTGAACTTAGAGAATATCTAAGCTGCCTACGTACCCCGAATGGGATCAAGTCATAACGTAGTTCAAAGAAAAAAAGATAGATTTTTTTTTTTTTTTTTTTTATAGGGAAAGGACTGAACTTAAATAATATCTAAGCTGCCTACGTACCCCGAATGGGATCAAGTCATAACGTAATTCAAAAAAAAAAAGATAGATTTTTTTTTTTTTTTTAGGGAAAGGACTGAACTTAAAAAATATCTAAGCTGCCTACCTACCCCGAAGGGGATCAAGTCATAACGTAATTCAAAAAAAAAAAGAAAGGTTTTTTTTTTTTTTTAGGGAAAGGACTGAACTTAAAGAATATCTAAGCTGTCTACGTACTCCGAAGGGGGATCAAGTCATAACGTAATTCAAAAAAAAAAAGATTGATTTTTTTTTTTTTTTTTTAGCCGTGCACAGTTTCAACTCATGCGGGCCAGGAGCCTTCTCCTCCACTTCATGCATAGTACCGCTTCAAGAACTTTCCATTTATCGGACCAATTCTTAAACCATCTTCGGCAACCAACTTGTACGCTCCATTTGTGTATGCTTCTTTGACGACATAAGGACCATCCCACTTTGAAGTAAATTTATTTCCCATTTTATGAGTGACGATGATGGGCCTCCTTACGGCAAGTACCAAATCTCCAACTTGAAACGATCTTGGCCGCACCTTCTTGTTAAACGCCCTAGAAAGACGAGCTTGGTAGCATTCAATACTTTGTTGTGCCTCTAATCTTTTCTCGTCAAGAGCTTCCAATTCTGCAAGACGCAAACGGGCATTTTCTTCTTGAGTGAGTTCTTCTTGTATAGCTATCCTCAATGATGGAATTTGTTTTTCAAGAGGCAAGACCGCTTCTACACCGTAGACCAACACATATGGAGTGGCTTGAGTAGGTGTTCTATACGTTGTTCTATAAGCCCATAAAGCTTCTCCCATTCTTTCGTGCCAATCGCGTTTCGACTTGGCGATCACCTTCTTCAGCAAATTACATAAAGTCTTGTTGAAGGCCTCGGCGAGTCCATTGGCGGCAACGTTGTACATTGAAGACTTTCTTTGCTTGAAGCCAAACTTTTCACAAATTTTAACAATCACACCGTTGCAGAATGGATTTCCGTTGTCTGTGATCACATATCGAGGAACTTCGTAATGGTAGATGATGTTGATGCGGATGAAATCTGCAACGTTCTCCTTCTTTACTTCTCGAAGAGGCACTGCTTCAGCCCATTTGGAAAAGTAGTCTGTTGCCGCCAAGATATAGAGATGTCCAGCGGAAGACTTTGTCATAGGTCCAACCACATCCAAACCCCAAGCATCAAAGGGCCATGAGGCAACAGTAGGGTGTAATGGCTCTGGCGGTTGATGACTAAAGTTTGCATGAAATTGGCAAGGTTGACATTTTTGGGCATACTCCATGCAATCTTTTACCATAGATAGCCAATAATAGCCCATTCTTTTTATTCGGAAATGTAATTTGGGTCCTGACTGATGGGCGCCGCAAATTCCGGAATGAGCTTCTTCTATGGCTTGAATGGCTTCGTCATCACCTAAACATCTCAAGAAGACTCCATCAAATGAACGTCTGTAAAGTGTATCTTTGTAGTAGATGAAACGAGCCGCACGACGTCGAATATCAACTCTTTGATGTGGATCATTAGGCAACTTTTCGTACTTCAAGTAATCCACAAATGATTGACGCCAATCTTCCTTCTCGATTTCAAACACGTAAACCACTCGAGTTTCGTCTTCTTCAATTTCTCCATGTTCAACGATTGGTGGTACGACCCACCTCTTGAAAATTGATATATGAGCTCCGTCTTCGGGCATGGCTAAAGTAGAAGCAAGTTTTGCCAATGCATCCGCTTGTTTGTTATCATTTCTAGGCACATGTTCTATCGTCAGATCACCAAGGTATCCGATAAGTCTTTTAGCATAATCGACGTAAGGGAGTAAATCGAGCTTCTTAACTTCGTATGATCCGAGTATCTGATTGATCACCAACTTGGAGTCTCCATATACCTCCAAATTTAGTTGCTTTATATCAACTGCCATTTCTAGCCCAAGGATAAGAGCTTGATATTCAGCAACATTGTTAGAGCAATTTTGTGTTAAGGTAAAAGAGTGAGGCAACACTTCGCCGTTGGATGTGACAAATACTACTCCGGCGCCCGCTCCTTCTCTGTGAGAAGCTCCATCAAAGTACATTTTCCAAGGAGGACTAGCTTCAATCACAAGAACATCTTCATCGGGTAGATCATCGGATAACTCCCACTCTGCAGGGATAGGATGTTCTGCCAAGAAATCGGCTAGGACTTGCCCTTTCACAGCCTTTTGTGGAATATATGTTATGTCAAACTGCTGCAATTGTAGGTACCACCTTGAGAGTCTGTCGGATAGGACGGGTTTTGACATAACATACTTTAGAGGATTCATCCTTGAGATTAGGTGTTCTACTCAAGTAGTATAAGGCGCTCTCTTTTCCATCATCATTCTCCTGGGCTAGTAAAGCCCCGACAGATCGATCTTGAGCAGCAATATAGAGTATTAACGATCGTCCGGGCACTGGTGCAATCAACACAGGAGGCTTCGTTAAATACGATTTTATACTTTCAAAGGCACTAGTGCAAGCTTCATCCCATTCAAAGGGAACATTTTTCTTCATGAGTCGGCTGAATGGTTGACATCGACCGGCTAAGTTTGAAATGAACCTTCTTAGGTATGCCAACTTTCCTTGCAAACTTTTGAGCTCATGAATGTTCCTAGGCTCGCGAATCTTTAAAATTGCATCAATCTTGGCTTGTTCGATTTCTATGCCTCGGTGACGAACTACGAATCCAAGAAACTTCCCCGAAGTAACACCAAATGTACATTTCAATGGATTCATCTTCAATTGGTACCTTCTCAAGCGCTCGAAGACTTTTCTCAAATTTTGGAGATGATCTTCCCTTCTTTTGGATTTAACTACCAAGTCGTCCACATAACATTCAACATCTTTATGGAGCATGTCATCAAATATCTTCTGCATGGCTCTTTGGTATGTAGCACCGGCATTTTTCAAGCCAAATGGCATCACTTTATAGCAATAGATGCCCTTAGGAGTGCGAAAGGCTGTTAATTCTTCGTCTCTCGGCGCCATTCGTATTTGATTGTAACCTGATGACCCATCCATAAATGATAATGCTTCGTGGCCCGTAGTAGCATCAATCATTAGTTCGGCTATTGGCATTGGAAAGTCGTCCTTAGGGCATGCTTCGTTCAAATCTCTAAAGTCAACACATACACGAATTTGCCCATTCTTCTTTCTGACAGGGACAATACTTGAAATCCATGTTGGGTACTTGACTTCTCGAATGAAACCAACATCAATAAGTTTATTCACTTCAGCCTCAATTGCAGGGACTAATTCAGGTCTAAATCTACGTTGGCCTTGCTTTACAGGGCGAGCTCCTTTCTTCACGGAGAGATGATGTATTGCCACTTTTGGGTCCAATCCGGGCATTTCTTTATAAGACCATGCAAACACATCCTTGAACTCGTGCAACAATTCAATATAAGTCTCCTCTTCGTTGACAGCCAGTAAAGCGCTAATGTAGATTGGTCGAGGATTCTCCGCATCTCCTAAATTAATTTCCTTTAACTCATCGATGGTGGCTTTGACTCCTTCTTCAAGCTCGGGTGGAGCAATTTCGGCGTCTTCCTCCTCAATCACGTCTATTTCACTTAAAGTGATATGATACGATGATGCCACACTTTCTCTGTCATCTTCCTCGTCGTCTTGGATTTTTGTAAAGACGACAGTTCGCATTTTAGCCTTCAACTCTTCACCACATGATATGGTCAAATAAGTACGCCGTTTCATGCGAGATGGAATTGAACTTCGAATCCTTCGTGTTTTGGTGATTTTAGTATTAGAGACACCCACATCTTGCTTGTTCTTTCTGTTATGCCCCCACTTTCTAAGTGGTCCAAGCCTATCAAAGACGGATGGCGTAAGTCTATCAAACCCTCGTTTGTCGCCTTTTTCATGCCCTCACTCTCTAAGTGGTCCAAGCCTATCAAAGACGGATGGCGCGAGTCTGTCAAAGACAGATGGTGTAAGCCTATCAAAGACGGATGTCCTTCTCACTTTTGTTCTACTTTCAAGAAAATCGTATGTTCATGAGAATTCATCTTCGATTATGTAATTACTGGTAGCTCTATTGATAGCAATACGAATTGGCTTTTGTGGAACAAATCCAAGACCAACTCTAGGACTTTGAATAACATGTCCCTTTTCTTTCAACATTATCTGAGTAGTATTGAGGCCATGCACCTTTTCGCCAACAACTTCGGCAGGAAGCCTTCCAAGCGTAGAATCTTCACGTGGGTTGAAACTAGCTTTCACTAAGAGTTTATAAGCATTTGGGCCAAAACATTTTGTCATTTGGGACTCGGAGAATTCTTCGTATTCCTCTTGGGTTCCTTCTGTGGGATGAACAAATCCTTTAGGAGGTTGAGAAGTTGATCACTTCTCGTCAATTGGTGTTAGGGGAAACATCAAATCTTTCAAAGCCTCACACGCTAAAGGGGCATTGTCTTGATTATTTCTTCGCTTTGGTTCTTCAACTGGTAGAATTTCTTTGGCCTTTACCGTCTTCTCATCATCAAGATAGTACTTAGCATCGGCAAAGTGGGCTTCTGCCTCGGTGAACGGTTTTTCATCGGCGAGTATTATTTTAACTACTCCGTCTCGACAATACTTGAAACATTGGTGCCAAGAAGAAGGAACCACACCATTCTCATGTATCCAAGGTCGTCCGAGAAGCATGCGATATGAGGTTCTTGCATCAATGACATGGAACAGTGCGGTGGACAACATATCATCCATTAACAACTCTATCCTTATGATACCAAGGGCCCTTTGTCCTTCTTGATTAAATCCTTGGATCATCAAGCGACTAGTTTTGAGCTCCTCCGTGGAGATTCCCAATTCCTTTAAAGTCTGCAACGGCAAAATATTGACTGCAGAACCTCCATCGATTAAAATCCTATTCACCTTCTGCTCACGGGCGTAGCCGGCAACAAACAACGGCCTATTGTGTGGTTTGGAACCAAGAAGTAAATCTTCATCAGCGAAAGTCATTGTTGACATGCATTTACCAATCACGGTACAAACTTCATTTGGAGACGGAGTCGTTCCACTAGCAGCGGTCTCCTTTTCAATTATCGCGTTGCATGAGATGTTGATACAATCATCATCTCATCTGTGTACGTTTGTTGTCATCATGTCAAGGGACTCAAAAGTGGTGACGACAAAATTTGTAGTGGCGCTGATCTCTTCGAGTGATATCTTCCCTTGGCGAGCTAGCTGCATAACTTTATCTTTGAATACGAAGCAATCATTAATTGAGTGCCCGACCAACCGATGATACTTGCAGTATTTTGGGTCATCGGTCTTGTTAGCTTCTTCGGGGCGCTTCATTTCAGGCAATTCGATAAGTTTTAAACCTAGCAAATCGTCAAATATTCCAGCCACATCGGTGTCGAGGAATGGATATTCCCTTGCTTGCATTTCTTTTAGAGTAAGTCTTCTTCTTTCTTGGGAAAAATCTTGTTTTTCCTCATTGTTTCCGTTCACTTTTCCTTGAAATTTGATAGGGGTTGCATTCACTGCCAAAGATTCTTTGCTTGAGGTCTTAGAGAAAACTCTACCCCCCTTCCGAAAGTCTTGTTTTTCTTTGGACTGTCGAGGCTCTTGAACTGGTGGTCCCTCAACTCCACTAGCCATAATGCTCAACTCCATGTCATGCGCTCTAGTGGCCAACTCTTTGAAAGTCTTAGGTTGAATCCCTTGCAGGATATATTGGAGTCCCCATTGCATTCCTTGAATGCACATCTCGATAGCTGAAGGCTCTGACAATCGATCCTTGCAATTCAGGCTTAAATTCCTCCAACGGTTAATGTAGTCAATGACGGCCTCTTCTTTCCACTGGCGAGAGTTTGTGAGCTCGATCATGCTCACTGTTCTTCGGGTGCTGTAGAAGTGATTCAAAAATTCTTGCTCCATTTGACTCCAACTGTCAATTGAGTTCGGCTCTAGGTCCGTATACCAATCAAAAGCATTCCCCTTCAATGATCGAACGAATTGTTTCACGAGGTAGTCTCCAAAAGTCCCAGCATTGTTGCAAGTTTCAACAAAATGTGCCACATGCTGTTTTGGGTTGCCCTTGCCATCAAATTGCTGAAACTTCGGGGGTTGGTAACCAATTGGCATCTTCAAGTCGTCTACTCTTAGAGTGTATGGCTTGGTGTATGTTGACGATGATTTTGAACCCTCATCGAATTTGTTCTTGATAGTTCCCATGATGAACTCCTTCAATTGGTCTATAGGAATCAACCCCTCTGACGAAACCTGGAATTCTTCAGCTGAGCTCTTCTCCCTGTTGGTTGGATGTCGCCTTGCAGAAGTTTCAGCTTCGGTGTGATTTTCACCTTGTTTTCCCATGTCGTGACTACCGTCAACTTTGTTCCTCAATATCGCGATTTGGGAGTCTTGTTCTTGAATGTGTTTTGTTAGCCCTTCAATGGCCTTGGTCAAGCTCGCCATTTGCTCCTCCATGGTCGTAGCATGTGTTGTCATGACGGGGGCCACCTCAGAGTAGTTTGATGTCGAACGGGACGTGGATGATGAAGCTTCTCCTCTAGATCCTCCCACATCTTCACCTGTGTTGACGAGAGGTGATGAGCCTTTCTCAATGATTTGCGGTGTCGAGCTAGTCTCGGAGGATGCCTGCAGTTTCTTAGCCATACTCCTTGTAACTACGCCTACACTTGATGAATTCGAAGTAGCAGCCTTCATCGCGAGCGGTTACCTTCGAGGATCTTCGAGAGAGAAGAGATGAGAGGTAGAGATGTCCCACCGGGCGTGCCAAAATTTGTAACAACAAATTCTTATCTGCGATATAAACAAACAAGAAAAATTGAACAAAGATGATTTTATTGAATTAAAATAAATAAATTGCGGGTTACAATCTCTATTTTAATCCTCTGATTCTTCTCTCTAGAACAATATATAGTTGACTTGAATTTTCGGAGTCGGGTCGTTGACTTGATCTTCTCCGGATTTGATTTTGGATTTGAATAACGTTTTCCAAGGGTCCTGCGACTTGAATCTCGGATCGAACGTTGAACTTTGACTGAATTTAACTTGAAGATCTTGAAATTCTTGATGGATTTGGCCCTTCAATCTTCCAATGATCTTGACTTGAATTGATTAACGTTAATCCGAAGGTTTGGCACCGTTATCTCGGATCGAACGCCGGATTTGATGAAAAACGCCTTGAATTTGCTCGAGAACACCTTGAATTTGACGAAGAACACTTTGAATGTAGAGAGAGAATCTTACCTCCTACGAATTCTTCTTCCTTGCTTCTTGAATTGTAGAGAGAATTTTGCTCCTACGGATTTGCTCCTTCAGTTGTGTGTTTCGAATTGTGAAGGGAGGGTCTCTATTTATAGTGGTAGAATAAGAGTCCTTGATGGGCCTCACTGATGATGTGGCGCGATTTGATTGGCCCAATTTAAATTGATATTTATCTCTTGTAACTTGGAAGAGAAGAAACAATTCTATTGGCCAATAATTAATTGATATTTATCTCTTTATAACTTGGGAGAAAAGAAATAATCTTATTGGCTAATATATATTTAATATCAATTATTTATTTAAATTAGAAATTAATTTAATTAAATTCCAAAATATATAATTGATAAAAATGTATATGTGACCGCATATATACGGGTCTTCAATTGACATCTAAGTCCTTTGGCTATGTATAATACACAAATGCCATTGGATAAAACTTTATTCCATATATAATTCAGCCATTTAATTGGCTTAAATTTTATTCGTCTACAAATATACTTAGTTAAAAGAAGGTTTATAAATTCCATCAACAATATTGACATAAACTTTTTAAATTGATTCATAAATTTTCTTTTATCAAGCTTTATATACTCAATTTAAAAAACAAATAAAGAAAAAGAAAATCATAAGTTATTTTTTAAGGGGACGTATTTTAAAAACTCAAAAACGTTGTGGAGTTTATTGCAGATAGTACCCATATAATCTATCGAATTGCTAAAAAACCAACCCGTATTATTTCACTAGCAAAAAGCTTCCATATGCCTAATTTTGTTTAGCAATTAGTACCCTTAATTAATTAGGGAGGATTGTGTGCTAAAAGAACATTGAATCATGGGGAGGTTTTGCCAGTAAAATAATATGGGTGGTTGTTTTAGCAATTCGATACAATACAGGGGTAGTAATTGCAATAAACCCAAAAGTTGTGCTACGGATTTTGTTTAAAAAAAAAACCTGCAATAAACACAAAACTATAAAGAGCACATAAAACTCACACACGCACACAGTCGAATCCCGAAACAGAGAACAATCCCAAGCCACGTCACGTCACAGTGGGCCGTCGCCGGCGCCATTAGCTCCGCCCACGCGACGCCGCCACTCCTCCTGGACGGAAACCAGATCTTAGTAAGCTGGAAAAAACATATTTGAAGGGTTTCAAGTTATGGAGAAATTAGTGTGTGCGCTTGAGTTGGATATGAGAAATGGGTAAAATAATACATGGGCTTGCTTGAAACTCTGAGATTCTTCTAATCGGCTGGTTAAATTGATTCTTTTTAAGTTAATAATTGTTTTGTATACAAGATGTGGAGAATTCACTGATGCGCAGAGGGTGTTCGATGAAATGCCTGATAGAGCTGTTGTGGAGAAATGATGGGTTGTAAGGAATGGAGAAATGAGTAAGGCATTGGACCATTTTAGGCTGATGCAAAGGGTCTGTTTTCACAGAGACAATGCTCTGTTTTCTGCCAGGACAAATATTTTCGAATTTCGTATTCATATCCCGAAATCGGGCGACTTATCCCAAAACTCGTTTTTCGGTTCTCGGAAATTACCGTTTCGAACCCACCCCTTCCTCTTCTTCTCTTCAATGGCATCCACTACTGATGAGCACTTGAATGAAGTTCATGAATCTCATTTTTTTAATAGAGTAGTAACTGCTCCAGATGAATCCCAACCTAATTTTGAGGGTCCTCCAATATCTGATAAAATATTCGTAAATTCTCCGAAGCTTGGCTCTTACAGAAGGGGTGACTCCACATTCTACTCCCTTATCGAACATCATGCCAATTCTGGAGATTTCAGGGCCTTGGAGATTGTTTTTCAACGGATGAAACGCGAAAGACGAGTCTTTATCGAGAAAAACTTCATTATAGTTTTTCGAGCTTGTGCGAAATTCCGTTTATACCGTAAAGCCGTTGAGTTATTTGACAGAATGGTAACGGAGTTTCAGTGTCAACAAACCGTCAGGTCTTTCAACTCCGTGCTTAATGTGATCATCCAACAAGGCGAATACCGCCACGCTTTGGATTTCTACGATCACGTCGTGAACAACAGAACGAACATCTCGCCGAATGTGCTGACCTGTAATTTACTGATCAAAGCACTATGCAAGGTGGGGCTCGTCGCGAGGGCTGTCAATGTTTTCAGGGAAATGCCCGATTTGAAATACCGGCCGGATGCGTACACGTATTGCACACTAATGGATGGGTTGTGCAAGGAGAATCGAATCGACGACGCTGTTGTTTTGTTGGACGAGATGCAAATAGAGGGGTGTGATCTAAGCCCCGTGGCGTTCAATGTCTTGATTGACGGGCTGTGCAAGAAGGGCGACCTGCCGAGGGCCGCGAAGCTGGTCGACAATATGTTCTTGAAAGGCTGCGTTCCGAATCAAGTGACTTACAACACACTTGTACATGGGTTGTGCCTCAAAGGAAAGCTCGACAAGGCAATCGATCTTCTGACACGGATGTTGTCGAACAAACTCCTCCCGAACGACGTTACCTACGGAACCGTAATTAATGGACTTGTAAAGATGGGGAGAGCTACTGATGGTATGCGCGTGCTAACGACAATGGAGGAAAAAGGGTACAGGACAAACGAGTACGGCTATTCGACGCTTGTTAGTGGATTGTTCCGAGAGGGAAAATCTCGAGAAGCGCTAGAATTGTTTAACAAGATGAAAGAAAATGGACGCAAGCCCAATACGGTTGTTTATAGTGCTCTTATAGACGGTTTGTGTCGGCAAGGAAAACCGTACGAAGGCGAAGAGTATCTTTCTCAGATGATTAGTGTAGGTTGCGCGCCGAATGCTTTCACGTACAGCGCCTTGATGAGGGGATTCTTTAAAGTCGGAGACTGCGATAAAGCGCTTCTCGTGTGGAAAGAGGTTGTCGATAAGGATTACATGGATAACGAGGTTTGTTACAGCGTGCTTATTCACGGCTTGTGCAAGAACGGAAAGTCGAAAGATGCTCTAACGGTGTGGAAGCATGTGCTGGCAAAAGGGTTGTCGCCCGATGCCGTGGCTTATACTTCGATGATTCATGGTCTTTGCAACGACGGGTCGATAAGAGAGGGTTTGAACTTATTTAACGAGATGCAGTGTAAAAAAGCGAAACCCGATGTGGTCACCTACAACGTACTTATTAATGCTTTGTGCAAGCAGGGTAGAATTCCCCATGCTATCGATCTTTTAAATAGCATGTTGGATCAAGGGTGCGATCCCGATTCGGTTACGTGCAATATTTTCTTAGCAAGTTTAAAGGAGAAGCCCGATCCGCCTCGAAATGGTGGAGAGTTTCTAGATGAACTAGTTGTGAGACTACACAAACGGCAGAGAATAGATGGAGCGTCCAAAATTATAGAAGTGATGCTTCGATGTTTTCTTCACCCGAAAGCGTCCACTTGGGATAAAGTTGTTAGAGAGATCTGTAAACCGAAGAAAATACGAGCTGTCATTGACAGATGTTGGAGTGAATTGTTCTTGTGATTTTGACTGGTGCGGATTCGGATTCTTCTCTCTCGAAATGAGTATAACTCCGTAAAACCATTCGAATATATTTATCACTTTCTTTTTGTTCGTGAAATTCTGATACTTCGGTTATGGTATTGAGTGCATACGCATGTAAAAGAACTAATTGAATCAGGATGATAGTTTCATCAAGTAAAATGATTGGTTTTTGGATTTACAGGATGTGATATTTGCACAATTGACTCCCTCGAGCAACTTGGGTTAACCCATATCCTCTGAAAAAAAAAAACGGGACGAGTGCAAAGTATTTGCTAGTTGATCCCCGATTTTGCTGCAGTTGTGCTTTTAGGCCCTCACTTTTGTGAACTTTTCGTGAAACGAGGATGAGCTTGCTTTTGGGGGGCCCACCCCATGGTCCTATGGCGTGATCCAAGGTGCTTAATTTAGGTCTCGTAGTTTTACTACGATGCCTTCAAAACCTCTGCATCTCACAAGTTTATGTTGCATCTTCTCGCGGGCATTATACCTTTCGATTTTGCAGCCAACGTTGTTTGCTGAAAGAAATCGACTGGTCTTTTGGTTGGGTAAGCGAGTGATGACCATTTCTTTGAATTTTTCAATTCTAGACAGAAATTTGGATTTCTAGAAGCTTCCAACCTAATAATAATGCTTTATTTGCTGACATGCAGAATAGGATCAACGGAGTTTTTTCAGACACTTGTACGCAACTTTTGGCTCCAAATATTATCATCTTGGAGATTCGCGAAAATAGGCGCTCGCTCTATAAGTTGTCGTTATCATTGTCAATTTTGCAGAGTATTAGTATCTACATATGATCCTCCTATTTATATATCAGGTAAATATGCAAATAGGTTGTTGTACAAGTATCGAGTACAATTGATTCGTCTATTACGGTTATGGCAATAATAATTAAGCGGTTCATTTGTAATAGATGTAGGAATTCATCACTTACTACATCATTTTCTTGTACTAATAGTAGTTTATCTGTGTTACTGAAGAAATGGAGATCATTCATTCATTCATTCACGTGCGATAAGCATTTGTCGATAAGGTAGTAGCCGCTATATGAAGATGCATACCATCGACAAATTAACAGAACTCGACACTATGAGCATGGAATTTTGTCCGAACTAATCAATTGTTTTACAACATACCAAATAAAACATCGAGAGCAATAAATTCATCAAGTATCCGATAACAAAATCGAGAAACTTCTATTACTTCACCAAAAATCAACTTCAACATCAGAATATAATTTTCCATACAGGAGCAACAAAACATTGTCTAAACGATAGAATCACGAGAGAGTTCACTCTTCACGGTATTGGATATACACGCATCTCTAAGTACATTTTCAATCGGAGACTAAACTACCTATCTTACATCAACAAAAATATCTACTCAAAAAAAAAAATGAAAAAAACCGAAAACACGTCGAACCTCATGGCAAATTCCTAGAGTATACCTACGTTTGTGAGTTAAAACTCTGGGGAATAGAGATACTTCTCTTTCCCTGACCAACTATTGTTAGTCGAAATATTGATAGAGTGAATGTTAACTATGTATATATTTTTAGTAAGCTATGGGAATCATTAGCAAAGCTTAACTTGTGGAAAACCAAAACAAAAAAAAAAGGATCAAGAAAGCTGGAGAGCAATCTCTTGAAGAAGTAATTTCTTTTGAGAAGCATTGATAACGCCTTTACATTCTGCGTCTACCAAAACTTCCGACATTATAGCTGCTGCATGGCCTCTTGGTCCTTCCGTCCCGGATGCTTTTCGAAGCATAAATACCTAAACGAGCAGCTAAAAGTTTCAGTCTTGCATTTGCACAAAATAAAAAAACTATATAAAGCAAAACATTATGTATATATATATATATATATATATATATATATATATATATATATATATATATATATATATATTAATTTCAAATTTTCTTACACTCAAATAGTTAAAATATCAGTGGTTCCGAAAAATGTGAGATATTTTATCGAGCCATAGTATTATTACCTGTCCGTCGTGTGTTATTTCTAAACATCCAGGTTGCTGTATAAAAGGTTCCCCGTCAATTTGCACAGGGAACGGACTGGAGACGTGTATCTTTATAACTTTCCCCTGTGCTAACCTAGTTGCTTGTGAAAGTCCGACCTGCACAATATAACTAATTATTACTACATCTTCTGCAAAAGAATATCTCATATATTGAGGATGAAGTTAATTTGAACCTGGAGTTTGCCGAGGTGCCATGATCCAGTAACGCATACAACTTCAAGCATTTTGTCGTGCATGTACTGATGATTGAAATTATCGTCATGCTCATAATCATTTTGCCAGAGGTCAACTCCTCCCATGTAGCTGCCAATGTTGAGCACAATTAAACCCTCCGCATCCTGAGTTTTAAAAAAAAAAATCACATAAGAATGTGCATTATAACATTAAAAAAAAAAGTACAAATACTTGGATCAACCAAGTGATAAAATGCATACTTTTGGTATCTCGATATCTTTTTCGTCGACTTCCAGCCAGACTTGCCATGGCAAGTCAGCACAAGCTCTGTCCATCATATCCCTGGCACCTTCTTTCGCGTATCTTAGTTTATTCACAAACTGTTGCACGATTTAAGTCAGCCACGTGAGAGAGAAATGAAAAAAAATCGAAGCACGGATAAGTTTCCTAAAACATTAAGGAAAAAGAGGTAAGAACTTCTCACCTGACTGTAAAACTTCTCCGGGTTTTCTTCCCTATTCGTGTGAAATTCATATGCAACCTTTGCATCACATCCAATACCTACAGCAGACAAAACATGAGATTATTCAAAACCAAGAGAACCGATCAAAACTACGAAACTATTTGAGGATGGAGTCCCTTAAAAAGAAGAGAGCTCTGAAAATTACCTAAGTAGTTCATCATGAACTTTGATTTAACTTTACTAGGTTCACCGCCGGAACCTTCCTCTGTTATATTGATTTTCCAGCGGTCGAGCATAGTAACTGCTGCATGGTCTATGTCGTGCAAAAAAGTGCTCAAAGCACCTTGTCCTTCAACGACAGAAAACCCCCCACCCCAGTGCAAAGCCCTCGACAAATCATTTCCAGTACCTAAAGGAAGAACTGCAACCGGCGGGGGTGACTCGAAATTATATCTCTCTATTGCATTAAGTACCCAAGCAACTGTTCCATCACCACCACAAACCAAAACCCTAAAGTATTGCACGTTGCTGAATAGATCTAACCCAGCCTCGGGACCTTGAGAGGAACTGAGTTCAATTACCTGCAAAAGAATTAATGATATGCAACTAAATTAGAGACACTTTCAACATCTAGAAGTGTTTGGGAATTTGAAAATAATAATATGCTTGATTACATGTAACTATTGAAGCCTATTTTCTAATCGGTAGTCGAAGTTAAACAAAAATAGAGGGAAAATGATTACTTGATGATGAGCATGAGCATGAGTACTTACTTGAAGGACTGAGCAAATTAAATATGAAGTTACTGAAACCTCATTGCCATTACATGATCGTACTAATCAACGAATAGACGGAAATAGACAAAATACGGCAATTAATAAATAATAATCTATTGAAAATGTGAAACTTTACCTGCACGGGATTCAATAGCATGTTCAATCTTCTCCGCAAGATAGGCCCGTTTTGTGCTCCGCTCTTGGCATTAATAAAAACCAGAAGTGGTCTGGCATCTGAAGGCAAGTCGAGAATAGTATACTTCTTTAATTTTTTGTCACAAAAATCGACTTCATTATTCTTACTGTCTAAATCATTCAGAGAGCCTCGCTTGCTAAGAACTTTGCCAGCATTCAGAAACGGATCGTTGCTTTTCTTAATGCTAGAACTTTGAAGCCCAACAAGACCTTTGAGCACATTGAGAACCGCTCTTTTGACAGCAAAACTTTCTGGCTCCTTGCCATTAATGTACCGATTACTTCCATGTCTATTTCGATGTCGCTTTCTTCTAATCTGTCCACGAACTGTTGAAGCAATGATTTCTTCGGTAATGGAACTCAACATCTCGCTTTCGGCACTTTTGACACAAAGCGGAGAAAGAATGACTCTTCTGTGAGCACCTAGATCACAAACATCACCGGATTCTTCAGACATCTTAACCTGGCACTTGACATGTATGATTCGCTGACACCATAAGCAATACCACGCTGGAGATGAATCGATGAAAGGGATACCACACGGTTCATCGCAGTAAAAACAAAAGGCAGACATCTCAGGATTATCGTCCACGTTAAACCATCTTTCGGACCAATGGTGCTGAATTGTGTCATAACCTGCTTGCACTACACACTTGCAGTCTTTTGCTGCAAATTGGGAGCAACGGAAATGAGACGCAACACCACAAACCGAACAGCGATGTATAGGCAAGCGGGAGAGAGATTTTGTTCCTAAAGTCTGAGGGTAGATTAGGGAATTTAGGCAGACACAACATGTCGATGGCAGTCCACCAGACGCCACATCATCCATCCATGTGTGATGTGATAACGGAACTTTTAGCTTCTTCCAGGCTCGCTTTTTTGCCCTGGAAGCAGCTTTAAGCCAGTTAAGAGATGTCCTTCTCTGCCATTTCAAGAATGCGTATACGAGAGCGAAAAGCCCAAAGAACCCTGTGATTATCCATCCAAAGATGTAGCCGTAATCCAGGCTTGAACTGGCAAGAAACCTTAAAATAGGAATGCTTAAGTCATTCATCATGAATGTAAGAAATTCATTGTCGCTTTGAATTCTTGTTCAGAAGTACACTGTAGTTTCTGGAGAAAGCAAATAATGGGATGAAAACCCGACAAGTGGAGAGTGTGGTACTGCAAGAGACGAGAAGAAAAAGAAACATCAATACAACAGCAAAGTACGAGAATGAATGAAATAATGAAGCCCCTGATAGTGAAATATTATACTTGAACAAGAAAACTTATTCCAGCAAATACGAGAAGACAAATACAGGTAACAATAATTAGAAAGAAACTCAGCAACTATGGAAGTACGATACCTAGATAATCACAATCTAGACATCAACAGACAGACCATCCGATAGAAATATAATAAAATGACATGGATATGATTTTGACTTGCAATTCTCGAACACGAGTTGATTACCAACATTGGTTCAATATCATTTTTTTTAACTCGATAGCAGGCACAGGTAGCTAGATAATCTAGTCATACATGAACAAAAAATTGGGCACTGGTTGATTTTGATAACTAAGTCTTTATCGATCTCGTATTCCGAAAGTATTCAACCCCAAAACGAAATGGTAATAATTTAACTACAAGGAAGAGTCCAAACGAACGCCAGATAAATTTTTTAGATGTTAGATTAATCGACAAACCCCAAATTCCAATCTCATAAGATTATATACATATAAAACATGATTAACTCATAGATGATCACACAACAAAAATTATACAGATCCAAATATGCTCAACCAAATCGCAAACTCAATTACGGACACAATTCCACACACAGCATATCTCAATCATATATCAATCATTCAAAAAAATAACAAATAAAAAAACAAAAATCAAAATCAAACAACCCAATGTTTGCAGAATCTCCTCTACCAACAGATCATAAAATAAGATCATAAATAATAATTCTCTTTCAGCTACCAACAGATCATAAAAATGGAAACAACGTTAACACATCGGCAACAAACACAGAGAGAGAGAGAGAGAGAGAGAGAGAGAGAGAGAGAGAGAGAGAGAGAGAGAGAGAGAAAACCTGATGAAAAAGGAAGGGGGGGGAGAAGAAACCCAGAAAGGGGGAAAAATCAATAAAATGGGGAGGAGAAATTGAAGATTTATGCGCGGTGCGAGATCTTATACAATGAAACAGTATCAATCAATCAATCAAATTGCTAGAGAGAGAAAGAGAGGAGAGAGAGAGAAGAGGAGGGAAAAAGGAAAGCTTTTCTTCGTGAATGAGGAGAAAGAAAAAGTTATGTGGCGGGATTTTCCTACGCAAAAAACACGGCGGGCCCTTTGGGAAATATCGAAGCCCCTTTCTCTCTCTCTCTAAAACTCTCTCCCTCTCTCTCTAAAACTCTCTCTCTCTCTCTCTCTCTCTCTGATTCCAGTCGGTAAAACTGTGTGAGATGTCTTTTTGCGTGATGTGTTGAACAAAGTAGAGATTTGCGTACACAATAAAATACACCTAATAATATTTTATTGAAATAATATATATTAAGTAAAAGGACTTTACTTGGTTCAAACTTAATTAGTTTTTATATATAACTAAATAAATACACGGTACTAAGTACAAACCCCTGGATTTTTTATTTGGGCCATTTCAATGATTTCATACACACTCTTAATACTGGAAATATATTCGATGGTGTCCGTCCCTAAAATTCTTTTTTCGAGATACTCCTCTGTAGATGTAAAAGTACTATTGTGCCTCTGTGCAATTTTCTCTAACTGCATTCAACATTTCCACCAATTGCATTTAACATATTTGGACTTGCATTTACCATTTTCGTTGATTTCTAATTTTAATTATTTTTGTTTATTTTTTATTCATATATATTTAGTGTTTTTTTTTATTATTGTTGTATTTTCCTATTAATTCAAATTTTGATAAATTTATTGTACTAAAATCACTACATGTGATATAGTATACTACAAGTTCTATAGTCATGTATAGATATGTAGTCATGTACTGTCTTTTTATGTCTTTTTACACCGATTATGTAGACCGTTGATTATATAATAAAAAAAAATTCATCTACACCAACAACAAAATTCACAATTTGAATCTTGATATTGTAAATCAATTAGTAGCTAACAAAAAAATTGGAAAAACACAATCATCAACATCCCTATACATCAGGAAAACCACATAGTTTATATATAACTATATATTACTACATGTGACTATATATGACTACATGTATATGACCACATGTGACTATGTGAGTATAATCTCATATAGTGTATCTGTATTTATAGCTTCAAATCTTACTTTTCAACACGACAACAACTCCAATCTATCGGTTGCAATAAATTATTTTGATTTGACGAACACCATGTCCTCTCGGCAAAAACTTAGTGCACATAAGTTGTTCAAACACCAAGACATGTGACTATAGTTATCTATATGACTAAATTTGACTCAAATCTCAGTTTTCAACACGATAACAACTTGTTTTGAACGACGAACACAAAGTCCACTCCGCAACAATTTACTATACAGTAGTTCAAACACCAAGACCTGTTAAAAAGAAAAAGAGTTAAACAAACAACGAATTTTGCTTCAAATTTGAATCTGCACACACACATACACACACACTATCACCTATTGATATACATATACATCACCAGCATCTTCTCCCCTCGTAACTCTTACATGAGTACATGTTACTCCATGTTACTATATAGTAAAAATCATAAATCAAAATTTTCAAGGGGTAAATCATAAAATTGGACCTAAAAGATTCACCAAACCTACGAAATATCATTTAATTACGAAAGGCATGTCGTTCAAATGCAGGAAAATTTTCGAGGGGTAAATCATAAAATTGGACCTAAAAGATTCACCGAGCATACAAAATATCATTTAATTAAGATTATAATTTGAATTTTTGACTAGGATAAAAAAACTCATTGGCCTTCTCAAATATAGTTTCAAAACTAGGGGGTGTCTCACATTCTCCCTTTTTATTTTAGGGGTTATATGCTAGGAGTCCCTCAACACAAGCTTAATTTGAAGTGGATGACAACATCAAATAAAATATTTTAACTAAATCCTTGGTTCAAAATAAAATTTGACCCACATCCTTTTATTTTTGTTTAACCACAAAATACCCTTAATATAAATAATAAAAGATTAGGTTTATCTATCATTCCTCTCATTCTCTCTTCATACACTGTTTCTTTTTCCAGTCGCCTCACGCCAGCCTTTTCTCTCTTCTTTTCAACCGTTCCAACTCTCTCTCTCTCTCTCTCTCTCTCTCTCTCTCTCTCTCTCTCTCTCTCTCTCTCTCTCTCTCTCTCTCTCTCTCTCTCTCTCTCTCTCTCTCTCTCTCTCTCTCTCTCTCTCTCTCTCTCTTATTTATGCCGCCCAACCCATTTCATTCTCTCTCTCTTGTAAATCGATGGGCGGGTAACAGAGGATGCTGGCACCGCCGAGATTTGAAGATTTTGAGGATCTACTCCAAATCCATCGCGGAGCAGTAGAGGAAGTTGAAAGGGGCGACACATCTGAAGATTTCGAGGTTCTTAGAGACCTCGGCGGCGATGCAGTGGAGAGGGCGGGTAAAGAAGGGTGCAAATGAGTGGCGATGTCTACAGTGATGATGGTGGTGGTCGTGGTTATAGAGGTGATGGTTATGGTGGAGATGGCCACTGAAGATGGTGGTGTGAGGTTAGATCGATGGTGGGAGGCAATTTTTATTAACCTATGATTTTTTTACGGCGCTAGGATTTTGGTTGACAGCTAGGGTTTGGTGGATAGGAGTTGGCGGCAGCTGCGAATTGTTGGCTGTTAGGGTTTGGTCACAACTAAGAATTTGTATTGATGCTACGGTTTGGAATACTACGTCATAGTAAACATTAGTACACCGCAGTAACCATAGTACACCGTAGTATACCATAATCTACTACGGTATTAACAACATATTAAATTAAAAAATATATATATAGGTAAATTGAATTAAAAAATATAAAACATGTTTCTTTTTATAATTTTCCATATTATATAGGAAAGAGGGATTTTTTTTTTATAATATTTTAAAAATGTGAAAATGAAGGGAAAAAAAACAAAAAGAAAGAAAAACGCGTGTTTTACGTAAAAAAAAATTAAGATATTAGATGGAAAAATGAAAATATTGCAGGCTACAAAGATGATAAATGCAATTTGAATTCTACTTAATGCATATTTTGAATTTATAAATTTGTGAGTGGGGGGGGCATTTTCATAACAAATTTTACGAATGATTTGTAGCAAATGTTTAGTTGAACTTGTCATTTAGTATAATATTTTTTTGTCACTAAGGACTTATATCGTAAGACCCCTTTATTTTATTAGACATTGTCCATTTTCATTGGAAACGAAGTAGGCGGTCGTCTAGGCCCCCGGATTTTTGTAAAAATTTAGGCCCCCAAATTTTTTTATACCCTTAATATATTAGTATTTATTCAGAAAAATCTATATTATATATATAATTATTGAGAACCTAATTCATAAATATATATTGATCAACGATTTTTACTTATTTCTGAAATTCCTGTTATCATGAGGGCCCCCAATTATTAAATTTATAGTACATTAGCTATTTATTTTTATATATTTACACTTGTTTTAGTGCTACTTAATGAAAATTATCCTTAAAAAAAATTGAGGGCACTCCAAAAACTTTAACATCACTATACCAAAAATTTATAGCATTGCCTCTGGCATATACCTTATAAAAACGAGTTAACATAGAAATTATCATTTTTTTTAGAAAAAATGAGTTTTAACGTAAAGTTTAGAAGGGCCCCATTTTTCAATCATCTTCAAATCCCGCATAGGGGGCTAAAATCTCAGGAACGGCCCTGAGTTCATGTGGAACAATATTGGGCCTATAATTAAATACTAATCCCATGCCCATATGAACATCGAAATATCATTTAAGTACAATTACCACCTCCATGCGTGGTCTAATTATTAAAACAAAAAAGGAAAAAAAACAAATTAAAAATAACTGGTCAACAAAATAACAAATTACAGTAATTTTTAACATCAACGACACTAATATTATTACGTTGACTGGTCAACAAAATAACAAATTAAAAAAGTCAAAATAATAATATTGATGTGGTTGACAGTAATATTTTGGTGTTTACAGTAATTGTACTGTCAACGACAGTACATTAATGTCAGTTGACAGTACAATTACTATCAACGTTCAGCGAAGCGCATAACAAAAAAATAAGGATTAAAAAAAAAAATCAACGCCTGAAACTGACGGCAAAAGAAATAGTTTAAAAAAAGAAAAAAGTCAAAATTGAACTTTTGTGGTCAAAATTGATAAAATTGAAGTTAAATTGGGGTTACAATTAGAAATTGGGTTTAAACGATTGAGGCTAATTTTGGCATATACATTGATTTTGCCTTAATTTCACTAGTAGAAATTTTGCTTTATACTACGAATTTTTTTGCTACGGTAAAAAATCGTAATAAAATGTATTTTTTACCGGAACAATTTTGAAGTCGTAGTAAATACTAGGATTTACCGTAGCAAAAAAGTATTTGGTACAGCAATTTACTGTACCAAAGTTTTTGTCACGGCCGTAAATGCGTAGCAAAAGTCTTTTTATTACGAATTTAATACATTTTGCTACGGTTAATGGTCGTAGTAAAAAATCATTTTTCTACTAGTGTTTGTAACACATATTAACGCGACGGGTTTATTGGCCTAAGAGATATAACCTCTGAACTTAGAATAATAAAACTGGTTGGTCAGAAACTTATGCATAGGACCGACAATTGAGGTGGGCCTGCCCGAAGCCCGATAGCTCAGCCCTATTTTATTTGAGCCGAGCCCGATTAGTTGTGAGTCGGGCCGAGTTTGACCAGTTTCATTAAACCCGATTAAACTATGGGCCGAGTTTGAGCTTACCAAGGCTCAGTCTAAATAAACAAATAATTTAAAAGAAATAAATAATACGGGATTTAGCATTTCAGTTTGTTTTAGCAGTTTGATATAATATAGGGGTACTAAATGCAATAAACTCAAATTAAATGACTAAATATAGGCTAACAAGGAAAGTAAATAATCCTACATAAATTAAAATATTAAATCCTAATTCACAAATGGTAACAAGTGTGGTGATCGAAATTCATAATCTTGGAAATTATTACAATAAGATTTACAAAATAAGAATCAAATATATTGTAATCTGCAAATTAAATAGAAAAATAATTAGTTTAATTAATCCTAAGCATTCTAAACTTACCCTATAAAACGAAGTTGAAACACGACCATCAAAATATCTTTTCTCATCTGCAGACATCTAGAGACTAGAACACAAGTAAATCACA